TAAAAAAGAATGTGTAGTATTAAAAGCAGAATATTTCCGAGGCAATACAATAATGTAACTTTTCTTCCTTGTGAAATGTGTGCATGTAAAATTTTTAAATTAAGGCATTTTATATTAATAATTTAATATAATTTCAGTTCTTCTTCCTGATATATTTTTCATACAAATGTAATACTTTAATATTATAAGAGGAAAAACAGCTAAAATTTCTGTCGTGACAGAAAAAAAAATTTTTTTAACATTTTTCTTGAATTTTCATGGGCAATTAGTACTCTCTAAAAGTTGATCATTTATAAAAATGTGTGGGTTGAAAAACTATGAAAATGCAATTATTTTAAAGAAAAATGTATAATTAATATCTTAAAGTGGTATTTTAAGTTTAATTAAGCTTATAATAATTATTTTTTCAGAATTATAAACTTTAAACCTGTTTTTCTCAGTTTGTGTTTTTCGAAACCTTAGTGCATTCAAAATGCTACTCCTTCGACAATTATGTACCAATCACTTCCATTTTTTTCTTGCGTGTTGAAAATAAAGCATGTAATAAAAATTAGGGATCCGTTTTGCTATTAACTGAATACTTTTTTTTAAAAAAAAAAAAATGTAAGACATGTTGGCTTTTTCATTGATTTTTAGCCTGTACATCAACATTTTATTTTTTCTCGAAAACGAATCAAGTTATTCTAAAATCGATCCCTAAAGTTGTTTAGATCATCCATAAGAGTATTATAAAAAAATTTCAGGTCAAAAAATTAATTTTTACTAAAGGAGTAGGATTTTAAAATTTTCCCAATTTTCTTCAAAAAATTAAAATTTTTAAAATTGTGTGAATAATATATGAAAATTTTCATCTGGTAACATTTTCTTGAATAGAAACATTGTATAAAATGCTAAAATATAATTTTTAAATACGTAAATAAAGAAGTTTGCTCAAAGGGTGCCAAGTCCCCTTAATCTTAAAATAATAATAACTTTATAAATTTAAATATATGGTAAACTTATAAAAAAATTCAAAGCAAAATCTTATTCATTTTATAATAATAATAATACAAACACAAAATATGAGAACAATATTGTATTTATTTACCTTCTAAAATTTATTCTTACATTATATCTTTTCTTAAAATATTGATACAATCTGAAATCCTTCTGTTTGCTACGAACAAATTCATATAAAAATATAATTCATTGAAAAGCCTTTACTGATTTTCAACAAGAAAAATATAAAATAATGACCACATAGAAATAAGGAATATCCCTTGGTTAATCCATTTCTCAATATCTCAATAAAGTCCTTCAGATCTCAACAATTTTCCTTTTATAAAACAATGTGCTAACAGAAAACTTAAATTAATCTTATATTTTTTAAAAATGTATTATATGAGAAGCATTGAAATAAGAGTAACATCATTCAATATGAATAATAAATACATTCGACAGGTATATGCATAAAATGAAGTGGAAAAATTTACATTCTTAAACATGAAAGAATAAGATATATACAGAAATCAATATTTATAAAAGAAACTATTTAATTAAATTCTCATTTATGTAAAATATTAGCTTTCATTTATATGGCAGTTACCGAAAGCTAAAGTTGTAATACCATTTTCAAGAATATATCTTATCGAAGGGGCAAAGTGATTTTTTTTTTACTTTTTACAGAATGTATTTGATGTATAGAACTGTTATATAATGGGTTTAAACTCTTCACGACTTCTATACTTATTTATGAGGCAATTTTTATAGTCTTCATGAGAAATTTTACTTTTTAAAATAGATCTATGTATCTCTTTTTGCTGTATTTTTTCTTAAGTTAATGTTTTTATGCTGTACATTTTTGCATTGAGACCTACGAACTCAGTTGCTACCATACCATTTAACTCATCTGTCATTTTTCCGAGAACATTATTAGTTAAAGGATTATGAAGAAAATGATTTGGAAACAAATATATGGGTCATTTCAATAAAAAAGAAGTAAGTTTTCTTTGAATAGATACAAGGTCGTTATTAATTATTTTATAAGCATGAAATGCTGGAGATGCTATGAATTTCTTAGCTATTTTCTCTCTATTCACTAGATAAATCTTAACTTTTTGCGTAAATTTTTCATTGTTTTACCAAACACGGCATTGTTTAAAAGTTTAAAGAAATCTTTTTCAAAATTGTTGTTTGCTCGTTTTCGATGTTCTGTATTAAAATATATATATAATTTTTTAACCGAGGACTTTGTTTAAATTTTAGAAATTGATGTATTTTTTTTTTAATTTTTAAACCTAATTGTACATATAACTTCAAATTTCTATAATGAAGAACATATTTAGTTTTATTTCTTAAGTTAGGAGCCAATTTTTCCACAGACTTCGATTCTAAAATACTGAATTCTTTAGCAATATTTTTAGTATAGGGAGGAACATTCAGAGACACTTCAACTTTTTCTGAGCTAATGGATAGCAGTTATGCAAATCGGGCAATTAATCTGGATATTCTAACTTAAAATATACAACTTATATCCGAATCGTCTGGTACATCCATGAAGTTAACGTATTCATCAGTCCAGGAAAAGTCGTGTGTAGACAAATTTTGCGACATTGCTCAACCATATAGATTGTTTGCATCTAAATATATAATGTAACTACTAGGTAGGCTTGAATCATAGGCTGATAAATACACATTGTTAGCCTTAGCGTAGCGATGACCCATCATCGCAACACCTCCGCGAATTCCTTTTTCGATGAATAAAAAGCATGTCTATATCAGTTAAAAGCTCCAATCGTACTTTTGTCATTTTATAAGACATGCTTGCCATACCAAACCAGGAATCGTATATGTATTACATGGATCAATTTTGTAGTAATTTTGGCATAGAGTTCTAAAGTTTTCCAATATGTCTGAAAATAATACGTCTACGGTTACACACAAATCACGATAATCTCCCAATGTGCGCATTTGAAACATGTTCCATCTATTATGTTGAGCATATTCGTAGTCTTCTCTGGAGACATTTTTATTTGTTAGACTGTTGAAAAAAGCTGATTGAGGAGGGAGCTGCGTTTCATAAAATTTAGAAAAGGAATCAAAATATTCATATGGATAGCAACCCTTTATAGTTATAAATTGTGCATTACTTGCAAAATACCTATCCCAAAGATGAAATTTACAAGGCTTTAAAGTTGGGCAATCTCTCTCTCTCTCTCTTCTTGTCTTGTCTATGGATTTAGGGCATTTCTAAATTAGTCCAAAAGTCCAATAATAAGCAAAGCCAGGTCTGGAGCTTGAGGATTGTAAAGGATGTCCTGTGATGATGCATCAAGTTTAAAAAGAGATGCAAGAATGGCCTTGCAGTTAAAAATATAGTCTGGTGTTAATTGGGTTTGCGGACATTTCCTGCAGATGAGGTAAGATCGGGAATTATCTGAAGATATTTTCATACCTTTGAAATAACCCATGCGGAGTCTGGCTACTGTAGACGACAAATTTCTAGGGCAATTGAACCACGGGATAATTCGTTTAAATCGAGTTTTTCAGCCACATTTAATTAAAAGAAAGCAGAAATTCTAAAAATCATTATGTGAGGATTTGAGAAACATTCTGAGTATTTTGATTTTAATTTAACATCACACAAGAGCAACCTGAGAGATATTGGGGACGAATCTCATAATTTCGAATTATGATCAAGAGATGAGGAAAATATCTGAGCACGATATCTATAAATAGCGTTCAGTATTCATATGGTTGTTTTTAACAACTCCAGCCATGCGACTCATCAGCAAGATTACTTGAACACTGGAATCATACCCTAGGTTTGCAATATTATATTGTTTTGAATGGCCTCAAATAAGGACCAAGCATATTAAGGCTGTCTTCGCCAAATGTATGCCGGAACTAAACGCGTTGCACATTTTCAGATAAAAAAATGCCTCAAATTTCACGAAAATTCGCAATGTGTTAATAAATATATTTGTTTATTGTGTATGGCTTTTTTAAAATTTCGAAGTATTCCATAGATAATTCATTTTTCCTTTTAACATGTAAAGGGAGAGCTCATTCACATTACGATATAGGAGAAAAAAAGGAGAAACACATTTGATACCAGTAAAAGTGGACCAACTCGGGGGGAAAATGAATTATTTGATGATATATGCTGCCCTTTAAAACAGGGGTGTGTGGCCAACACAAATGATCTTGCGGGTCACTTCAGAAAAACATTTTAATCCCGGACAGCATATAAAAATGTACATTTTTATATTAGATTTGGACCCCTATTTCAAACATTTATTGGAGTGAAAATTTAAAATAGAATGAATTATTTTTTTAGTATTTTCATTATTTTTCTTGTATACAAATATACATATGATAATAACAATGCTCTGATTAAATAATATATATATATATATATATATATATATATATATATATATATTTAATGTATTTAATTAGTAAGATATTTGTTTCTCAACTATTTCACTTAATTTCTGCAAGCGGATCTCAATACACAGATTTATTTGTTACAAAATACTAAAAACAAAAATTTTCCTCAAAATAATCGTACTTTGTGAAGTTGTAATGAATCTCGTGGGCTGCGGGTTGGCCACCCCTACATTAACGGATAGCGAGGCTAAAATATAATAGCAATGGTGCAATATTTTATATCCGAAAATATATTCCAAATTCAGGTCCTACTCTTTAATAATGAGCGAAGACAGCCTAAAGACCTTAATAATCTCTTTGAACTCAGTAGGAAATTCTTGTATAGTTCTCCGTAAGAAATTAAAAACAAATATAATATAAACAAATTCTTAGATCTTTAATTATTATTGAAGTTATACTTATTGGGCGTTTGGGAAGAAGGATGAGGGTAAATTTTTACGATGCGCGCGCACGCCGTCATGGTTGCAAACATGCTTTGTCTAGAAATATACGGAATAGGACACACACACAGATCATTCCAGCCTTCGAAATTCTCAGAAAAAATATATTTCTCTTCACTTCCCTGAAGAAGGGGGCACCCAGGTTTGAACAGGGGATCGCTCGATCTGCAGTCGAATGCTCTACAACTAAGCTATACCCCCGCGCCAACGAACCTTTGCTTTGCGTTCCGTAGGAACGGATATGAAAATGCCTTTTCTAGAAATATACAGAATAGGACAGATCATTTTCCCGCCTTCGAAATTCTCAAAAAAATACTTCTTTTTGGAAGTTAGGGAAAAAGGATGAGGGTAAATTTTTACGATGCGCGCTCACACCGTCACGGATGTGCGGCCATACCTTCAAGACACCGATGCGCGCGCACACCGTTGTATAATATTTTAACATGCCATTTTTTTGGTGCTATGGGACTGATATTTGGGGTATCATAAAAACTATTGTAATAAACCATATCTGTTGGGACGTATTCCCCCTGTGCGTTCCTTCCCTCTACAGTGTTTTGGCCAATATCTCAGCACCCGAGCATCACGGTCCATTCGGACCTGGCTCATTCGATCCCTCTCTATCTGCTCTTCCAGTTATAATTTCGTGTGTGTGTGTGTGCTCATAGGGCTATTTCTTCCATATTTTTTAATTTTCTTAAACTTTTTTAATTTGTTTAAATTCACAATATCTTGACTCCTATTCGAGTCTGGGACTTGAGATTTGAACCAACTGTTCCACTCGTCGAGACACATCCAGTCATTTACTTCATTCCCATTGTGTAAGGGGGAGGGCTTAAGCACTCAATCATCATGCTCCCATTTTAATCCTATGGGGACTGGGAAAAATTTCACCCCCCCCCCCAAGCAATTGAGCTTGGTACTTAATTTTTGGTGGCCCGCCATATTTTCGTAATTTTATATATTCTAGGTACTTCAGAGCTATATTTTAAAAAACTGTGGGGCATTATGCGTTTTTTTTAAAGAATCCCAAAATGTAACAAGATGCTATGTAATTAAATAGGTGAATCCAAAAATTCGCAATATAGCACTAAAATCAATAATAAAAGAAAACAAATTGAAAGCTAATCATGATCTACAGTACAATACGTTTAACGCGAAAACGCTTAAAGCGAAATATCGGATAACACGAAATAATACAACGGTCCCGACAAACTGCTCTGTATTTTCATGCATTTTTTTCCATTTTAGCATGAAAAGATTTCCCTTCTGGGAATGAACAAAATACGGAAAATACCAGACATTTCAGAAGGGTGTGAAATGAAAGAGATGGTTTCGCATTAGTTTTCTGTACTATTGGATTGTCCTATTATATCAATGGAAGAATTCGTTGTAGTACATGATGATAATGTGGGTGCAGCCCCAATCATGACAGGCAAAGACATTTAGGAGTGTGTTCAAAGTTCAAAAAGTATCATTGATACAGATTCCGACGATGAAATGCCTCTCCTGTTCTCAAGTCATCCGAAACGAGAAACATCATGAAAAAAGTATGAGCATTTACTTATTCAATTCACCAATGGAATGTACGTTTAACAAAATGGACGACATCGCACAATTTCTGGATAATTTGATAGTAAAAAAGACAATGTGCAAAAAAATTATATATCAGATTATTTTCCAAAAACTCAATAAATGTTTCGTTTTACAAAAAACTTTAATTGAGTGTGTAATGCACTTATTTATGAGTATTTATGGGTCAAATATGAGTTTGTATGTTATATTTTTTTCGATACTGTTGTATCCAATACGAATTTTCAGCATAAAAATATACATCAAATCAAATTTAAAGGGATCTAAATATATGATACTTAGATTGTAAATTTCATTTTTTTCCATCTTATATATTATTTAGTTTACATTTATGAAGTTTTTACCACTTAACTTCGAAAATCTAAATTCTTTTTGCATTTATTGTGTTTCAAAAAGGTACTTGCGCATCATCGCAAAAGTGCCAACGTTCAAGATAATTCGCCGTCTCGTACGCGCTGAATTAGCAACCATTTACTTCGTTTTATATAATATCACCAATACCAACAAAAATTTTACTTTAAGAAAAAAAATACAACTATTATTTGATCAAAAACTTTGTCTTCGAACCTTAGATTTAAATCTGAAAATAACAAAAATAGATTCGATGAAATAGTTAAACAAATTTGTAAGCATTTGAACTAGTTTCAGAAGCAATTTGGTTTATTAAAAGTTATATTTATGTTTCTAAGAGAATTGTATTGTTTCTTTTTAAAATCCTATACAAGCAGAAAATTAACTTTTATTTAAATTCAGTCTTTCAATAATAAGTTATTAGAAATATCTTGGAAACATTAGGATGAATAACAGATTTTATATAGTAAAAATTTCAAAACAAAGTAAGAAAGAAATAGTTTTTTACATATTATGTAACGAAGAAAAAACCTTTTGACTAAAATAACACTCATTAGGCCCAGGTGTGTAAGTAATTTTTTATGAATTGTTTTGTTTAAATAGAAACACATTCATCCAGATGGAGATATAGAAAAATGTATTGCAATATATATTACAAATTAAGCTAGTTTTTTATTCATATCAACTGATTTTATTCTCTCCTATCGCCAAAGAAAACAAATATTATAGTTTTTAAGTTAATGTTTTTTTAATCAAAAATTAAAATACTTAAAAATTCCAGTCCTTAGAAGAATGTAAAAACAACTAAAACAGTAGAACCATAATCCAATGTACAGCATTTTATTTTGAATGCCTCTTTTTTTTCTCAATGATTCACTGTAAACAAGAAAAATAAAACAAACCAAAATCATATTTTTGAAATATTTATTCTGGAAATTGGACACATACATATCATACATTCAAAAAATAAACAAGAATATAAGTGATATTTTTGAAACAACATACCTTCATCTATAAGTTATTTTTTATAAACACTATACAATCGATACTATAGTCAACTCCATTGTTTTAATGTAATATATATTGAATTATTTGCTTACTAGTAGAAATGAAATTAATGCAAATTAAGAATAAATCATTCATTATCTAGAAAATCGATAACAGGTTTAAAAAGTATGATTTTCTAAATATTACACATGAAGGCATGTATTTTTTTGAAGTTCACATGTATAAAAACTACTGTTCAAAAATACCATACATTGGAACAATATATATATCAGTACACTACACACCAAATATCTTTTAGGCATGGTTTTGAAATTGCTGCAAATAAGATTTTGGTATCCAATAGTTTTCAATCTAAGAGGATGGTCTCGCAATAAGAACTCAACATGAAAATAGTTTAAAAAAGAATGGCTTATTCCTGACAAAAGAGGAATTACATTATGAAGCAAAAATGTAAGCACTTTTTTGTAGAAAACCAATTAGAAAAATATGATTGCCAAGATTTAAAAAAAACAGAACACAAGGTATTTAGAAATGCCAGGAAAAATTATGGAAATTGGAATGTGGGGAAAATGGGAAAATAATAATTGCATTTAAAAGCGTGGGGTGCTTGATATCAATTGTTATGATTTCTTAATAGTTCTATTCTGTAATACAAAGTTAGTGTAACAATGTAGTACAAGGGTCCCCCACCCTTTTACCACAATGACATTAATTTTCTCGTTAATCATTTTGTTCTTAGGTTCAGTCCTAGGAGAGCGCACACCCTTGGCGACAAACCGAAAAAGCGCAAAGCCAGAATGAGATGGTGGCAAGTAAATATAGCGGGACAAGGTGGATCATAATGAAAATATATGTAAACAATACAAAAATTAATCAAACGTATTTAAGATGGAAAAAAACAGCACTTACTTTCTTACTGCTGATCTTTTCCGAGTGGAGGGTACAGCATGACAGCGGATTTTTACAAGAAGCCTTGAAGGCCTCATCATTAAGAGAATAATCGTGGGAGCGCGGCCATAAATATTCTGCGAGGTAATGGTCGAACATACCCATTCAAAATCTACGTTCAAATCCATCCAAAACAGAACTCTTTCGTTCGTATAATCCCATTCGCTCATTACATTTAGAACATTCATAATTCAAAGCAATCAATCCTTCCTTCATACACCATTCAATCAATTTTTTTCTTACATTTCGCATTCAACAAAGTACAAAATTCAAAGGTATATCCTCTCACACACGGGCCATACTTCCAGCCCGGGGCCCAACAACAAAATGACGCAATTCGATATGCCCGCTGACAAAATACAAAAATTCCAGAAATAGTTAGGTTTACCATACATAATGTATTAAAGTAGAGTTACCAAGATGGTGCAATTATCGCAAACCAAAATAATTTGCTCCAAGGGTGTGGGCTCTCCTAGGACTGAACCCATTCTTATATTAAGATTTATTTTTTACTTGTTAGTACGATTAACTATAAAAGCATTTTTTTAAAACTATGGTGTTTCATGTACGTCAGACTGAACAGATTTCAGTACTTACGTATATTATCAAAACAATCATCAACTCTATTAATAATTCGCTGAATTGACAACTTCTCTCTCTCAATTGGTACTTACGTCTTATTGGCGACATTATATGAAATGAAGCACCTAGTTGCCAATTTTCAGTGTGTCATCGGGGTTGCCACTAAATTGGCAACCAGGTGCTTCGTTTCATATAACGTTGCCAATAGGTTGCAATAATATATAAGTAGGGGAAACCTGTGTACCTAGGGCCATATTTTTTCAATGCACGAAAACAGAGCCCCTGACCTGTTTAAAAATGTGAAACTGATATGCACTCATCATTATAATAACTACCATCCAATTGTAAATATAAGTACTTAAAATATTAAATTCTGTGAAATAAAAGGTTTTAAAAACTTCACAAATGGCCCTAGGTACAATATCATTGTACGTAGGGCCGTTCCCTGAAAGTTAGGTTTCACTCTGTAATCAATAGAAAACAAACATACACACATGAATTTAATAAAAGAGAAACAATATCAGCTCTAATACATTGATTTATCATGTAACCATTTAAATTGCAATGTGCCAAATTATTAATGAATTGCACGTATTTTGATCCAACATTTAATTTTAAAAACTGGTTCCAAAAGTGAGCTGCATACATTGTCGTTCAGAAGCATCAACAGATTATGGTTTAGACAGTTTGAACACAATATTTCTGTTGCCAATTTTATA